CAATAAACTATTTAGAAACAGTGTTTACAGTATTAGGTCATCTTATTTTTGCTTTATCAAAGAAAATGTTTTATTATGGAAATTTTGAAACATAGCAGTGTTGAAGTTCATAGTGAACACCTGTATAGCAACCACCCAGATTCTGTTTATAATTACTATACTTGATTTATCATGTATTTATCCAGCCTTCAATCATCTTATTTGATGGTTTCAAAGACTTCTTCCTAAATAGTTAAACATGCATATTATTAACTACAGTTCAATATTTCCTGTTCTTTTTCTTTTTAGCTAAAATCTACATACAGTGACGTACACAAATTTTAAATGTACCATTGGATAAGTTCTGGCAGTTAGCGTATACTTCTGTGTAACTCAGATCCCCTACCAAGTTATAGTATGTTAACATCATCTTGAAGTACCCTTGTGTTCCTTCTCAGTCCCCACCCCAACATCCCCAGAAGCAACAACTCTTTTGATAATTTTCTCCCACAGATTACTTTTGCTTGTTCTAGAATTTCATATGAGTCAAATCTTACAATAAGCACATTTAAAATTTAACAAAAATTAAAATTTTTTTTTTAATGTTCATTATTGAGAGACAGAGAGACAGAGCATGAGTGGGTGAGGAGCAGAGAAAAAGGAAAACACAGAATCTGAAGCAGGCTCCAGGCTCTGAGCTCTCAGCACAGAGCCTGGCACAGGGCTCAAACTCACGACCTGCAAGATCATGACATGAGCCGAAGTCGGACGCTCAACTGACTGAGCCACCCAGTCACCCCTATAGGTTCTCAATTTTAAGCAGCATTTACAGATTCCTATAAAAGCTGGTGGCATAATTAAGAATTCATTTGAGCACATTTTTTAAAATGTTTTTTTTTTTATTTTAGAGAGAGAGAGCAAGCAGGGGAGGGGCAGAGAGAGAGGGAGACAGAGGATGCGAAGCAGGCCCCATGCTGTCAGCCCAGAGCCTGATGCGGGGCTCCAACTCACAAACCACGAGATCATGACGGGAGCTGAAGTCTGACGCTTAACTGACTGAGCCACCCAGGCACCCCTGAGCACATTTTTAAGAGTTTAGATGGCCCATTAAATTAAAGAAACAGCATGTTCAAAGGTTTACCAAGATTGAGTTTTAATTTAGATTGGGCATGGCAAATAAGTTTCAACTTTCATTGTAGGATTTGACTGGAGCTCTGTGTTAAGATTCTGAGGCTGAATGTGGGCATATAGAAGTGTTTAGTGGTGTATGCCATTGTCCCAGAAGGTAAGGAATTGTGGTACAAGAACCATATATTAGCTGTTCCTGAAAAATGGTTGGCAACTAACTTACTTTTATACTGCAGCTTTTGTTTAGTTAGGGTCTTCTATTTTCTGGAACTCAACCTTACTGAGTTCATTCCGGTAATCACATATTGAATAATGTATAGAAATTAGAGGAGATAGTAAGTGATTGAATCCAGTAGCTGTGTGTGCATGTACTACTTGAGTTATTTACAGATAAACATTTGATTGCTGTGTATTTATGAATAGGGGAGTAGGTGAGGGTTGAAATACAGAGAAAGCAATAGTTCCTTGTCACATATCCCAGAGCATAATGTAAAAATCATAATTTAAAAAAAAATGTAAATTCAATCAAAAAAGTAATGTTATGTAGCCCTAGACCTATATTTCTATGAACTATTAGAACATTAATTTATTTTACGATTCAAATAAAACATCAGAATTTGACATGTCAAGAGAAAAGGCTAAGGTATGTGCTACTTAGTGATTTTCCTTGCTAGTGGTTTTTTGGAGGGAAATTAAATAAAGGACTTAAGTTTGCAAAAATGTAATACAGCTTTCTTTTGCTTGCCAAGTAGGAATAAATCTCTCTTCGGGTAAATTTCCATCTCTCTGCAATAATTTCTCAATTTCCATAAGATGCCTAATACTGTGGTTTTAAGTGGTACTTTGAAAGAACGCTAATGAATGCTCTTCTTTCTCACTCATTGTATTTTATTTTGTTCAGCAAGCGTGCAGTGTGCTGTACATGCTGCCCCAAGTGTCATAATCATTAAGATGAGGAATAATAGGGATCCAGGGTTATTTAAATCCCAGCTCAGAACTTTGTGATATGTATAAATACCACGTATCATATACATTTATATAAATATTTGTATATTCATAATATATATAATAATTATAAACATTTATAAAGATATATTTATATGTTTTTAACTGGCATATTTGTCTCCCCCCACGTGTATGATCTTGATCCCATGTGGGGCTGTAGGCAGGGCCAGGCACACCTGGGATCCTACAGGTGGGCACTGAGGCTTGCTTTCCCCAGCTTGTTCTTGTCAGGGCCACATAGTGGTGCCTCGGTCCCATGGGTGCTATCCCTGTCTGCCCCACCTCCACTCCTTATAGTCCAAGTCGCATACAGCCAGGCTGTGTAGGGCCCGCATCCACCTCAGGGACAGAGCTTCGGGCTATTACGTGAATACCTATCAGAATGGTATGAAGACTAACTCAAACACACACATATGTGTGTGTGTGTGTGTGTGTGTGTGTGTGTGTGTGTGTGTGTGTGTATATATATGTATATGTATATATATATGTATACGTGTGTGTGTGTGTATATATATATATATATATTTTTTTTTTTTTTTCCCTTAAGAAAGAGAAGGATGCAAGTGAGCAAGGGACAGAGAGAGAGAGAGAATCTCACGTGGGACAGAGAGAGAAGCAGAGCTCACCGGAAGCAGGGCTTGTCGTTTTTGTTGTTGTTGTTTGTTTTGTTTTTACATCGGAAGCAGGGCTCATGCTTACCTGATGTGGGACTTGAACTCTCAAAAGGTGAGATCATGACCTGAGCTGAAGTCAGATGCTTAACCACTGAGCCACCCAGGCACCCTCTAATAATATTTTATTACTGTTTTTCAAAATTAAAATACTGAAAAAGAATACTTAGTAAAGGTTATTAAGGAAGAAGATGTGAGTGAATGGGGAAAGAGGCCAGAATTGTTAGGATTGTTTCTGTTAAGATTCAGTCTGAATGCATAAATGTAACTGTGAATGCATATATCATTGTAGAATTTATTATTTTTCTAGTAATATTAGTTTGAAAACTCAACTGCATTTTTCTAATTATAAATGTAGTATATGCTAATCATAAAAAAGCAAATAATGCAGATACCTATAAAGTATATATAAAATATATAATAAAGAAATACACAGCATCCAGGTGGCTCAGTCAGTTAAGTGTCCAACTCTTGATTTTGGCTTGGGTCCTGATCTCATGCGCCTGACAGTGCAGCCTGCTTTGGATTCCCTCCCTCTCTCTCTGCCCCTCCCCTGCTCATATGCATACTCTCAAAATAAATGAAATAAATAATTAAAAGGAAAAAAGGGGTACCTGGGTGGCCCAGTCAGTTAGGCCTCTAACTCTTGGTTTCGGCTCAGGGCATGATCTCACAGTTCTGTGGGGTTGGATTCTCTCTTTCTCCCTCTATCTCTGCCCCTCTCCCACTTGCACTCTCTCAAAATAAATAAATAAACTAAAAAAAAAAATGAAAATATGATCCAAATGGAGAGTTAAATTGGGCAGTGGATAGTGTAAATTTGAATTACACTCTAAAAATAAAACACAGTAAAAACCTTGGATTGCGAGTATCTTGTTCTGCGAGTGTTCTGCAAGACGAGCAAACATTTCTAATAAATTTTAACCTGATCAATGAGTGATGCCTTACAATACAAGTAGTATGTGATGCCAAACATCACATGATCACAGCTGAGCCAGTGGTTCTTCTCTGTCTCTCTTCAATGTGGGATTGTGGGTGATCGTGTCCCATACTCAGATACTTGGTCTCAGGCCGCAGCGTTTGGCAGAAATCTGATTTTTCAGAATGTTGGAAGGTGCCCACAACTGGCATCCTACATTGGATCCAACTGTTGCATTGTGAGCAACAACAAGAGGTTATGGAGGAGATCTCCTATGCAGAGGAGGAGGGAAAAAAAGGTGGAGGAATCCTCCACTTCAAATGAGATTAGGGAGATGTGTACAATGTGGGAAACTGCAAAATTTTGTAGAAAAGCACCACCTGAATACGGCTGTAGCAGTGTGAGGGATGAATCTGTTTAATGACAAAGCAACGTCACATTTCCACAAAATCCTCAAAAGGAGGCAAAAGCAAGTGTCATTGGATAGGTTCCTTGTTAAAGTTGCACAAAAAGAAAAAGATTCCATTGAGCCAGTAAATAGCAGTGATTCTGTTAGTGATAGTGCAAGTCGTCCTACACAATAATCCTCGTTTCTCTTATCTCCCTCACACCAGCCACAAAGGTTTTCAAAGGTAAGTACAGGTTAATTTGTTTATTTTTCTTTAAAAAAATTTTTTTTTAAACATTTATTTATTTTTGAGAGACAGAGACAGATTGTGAGTGGGGGAGGGGCAGAGGGAGAGGGAGATACAGAATCCAAAGCAGGCTCCAGGCTCTGAGCTGTCAGCACAGAGCCCCATGTGGGACTTGAACTCACAAACGGTGAGATCAGGACCTGAGCTGATGTTGGATGCTTAACCTACTGAGCCACTTAGATGCCCCTGTTTATTTTTCTTTATATGCTGTATTTTCTTTATTTTGTATTATAGTATTATAATCATTTTTATATGAATGTTTTTGGGTTGTGGAACAAATTGAGTTCCCACTATTTCTGATGGGGAAATTCACTTGAATATACACATGCTTTGGATTACAAGCAAAATGTTTCCAGAACGAATTATGCTCACAAACCAAGGTTTTACTGTACGTTGCGTGAGAAAGTCCTATTTTTCACTTTTGAACAAGATAATTTTGCTACATACAGATATAAATTTTAGGTAGACTTTCTTGTTATGCTAACATAAAGGTATATTTACAGTCAGGTGAGCACAATCATTTGTTCTGTTACAACTGAAAGCTTGTTCTTTCCTAAAGCAGGTTTAGTTGAATGAGTGTATTAATAACTCTCATTGTTTCAGGTAGTCCAGCAGCCTTCAGGAGGTGTTGCAAAACAAGTGACCACACTTCCCCATTCCTCAGCATTGACCATTCAGAAATCTGGACAGAAGAAGATGCCAGTGAGCACTGCAATACCTGCCAGTCAGTTTCCTCCAGGTAGACCCCAACCCCCACCTCCGCATCCCTGGCCCCATGATGCTGGGTTTGGAACATGATGGGGTTTTGTGTTCTCTTTTTTATTTGTTATATTAAGAAAAGGTACTCTTTTAAAAGTAGGACCTAGGAGAGAGGACTGAAAAATCACTAGTACATTCTTTGTATATACATAGCTACTTTTTGGGGATATATATTTTAGAGTAGAAGAAGCAACTACTCATGGTATTTTGTAATTAGATAAAACAATGTATTAGTGAATAAAGCACTTTTTTTAATTTACAAAAATTGCTATAGCTTTATTTCTTTTTGAAATGTACTTTTTCTACATTTGGAAATCAGTCTTAACACAAAAGAAGTTTCATGTATTTTTAAAATATGCAAATATAAATGATATATTAACATCACTTGTCACTATTTATGCATATTTTCATAATGCTGGTAATCCTATAGGCTGAAGACTGTATGAAAAGAAATTTTGATTTTTCTAAGATGATTTCATGCAGGGAATAAATTCATCGTCATTTTTGAGTTTAAACATAGTTCTAGGACAGCTTGAAATTTCTTTTCGTTATTCTGGGTATATTAAAAGCTGCTGTCCTGCATTTCTCCTAATATGGCATGACTGATTTTTTTTAAATTCTTTTTTCTTCTTTTGTTTTTATAGCTTCCATTTTAAAGCAAATTACCATACCAGGAAATAAAATTCTGTCACTCCAAGCATCTCCTATTCAGAAAAATAAAGTAAAAGAGAATGGAATAACATCTTTCAGGTAAAGAAAATAGTTAAAATTTGGTCTGGTTTAAGGAAGTAGTATTAACAAAAAATGGCAGAATAGTACTTATAAAATAAATATCTTGATGCCTTTTTAAAAAGCCGACAGTACTTTATTGAGTATAATTTATAAACAAGTGTATAAATCTTAAGTGTATAGTTCAATGAATTTTGATAAATATACATGCCTGTATAATCAAGATGCCGAACATATCCTTTACCTTCATGCTATTTTCAAATCAATTACCTTCTAACCCTTGCCTCCAGCAACCTCTATTCTTTAATTTGTTTTTTAAAATTTAGAGAGAGAGAGAGAGTGCACGCACACACATGACCAGGGAAGGGGCAGAGAGAGAGGTAAGGGGCAGAGAGAGAGGGAAAGAGAAGCAGGCTCTGCACTGACAGCGCGGAGCCCAACGAAGGGCTTGAACTCACAAACTGCAAGATCACGTACCTGAGCCGAAACCAAGAGTTGGGCACTTAATTGACTGAGCCACCCAGGCGCCCCCAGCAGCTGCTATTCTTATGTTCATCCCCACAGATCATTTTTGTTTATTCTTGAACTTTACATAAATGACAAATTGCATTAACCTTTTTGCATCTTTTTCCTCTCGGTATGTTTTTGAGATTCATCCATATCATTTTGAATATTAAAAGATTGTTCTTTTGTATTGGTGAGAAATAACCTTTGTAGTCTCCTGTTGATGGACATTGGGCTGTTTCCAGTTTTTTTACAGTAATATGTAAAGTTGCTATAAACATTTATATACAGGGGCACCTGCACTTAAAAAAAATCACATTTATATACAGATTTTTATGTGAACATAGGTCTTCATTTCTTTGTAGTAAATATCTAGGAGTTTGATTGCTGGATCAGTAGGTGAGTGTGTGTTTGTTTAAGAAACTACCGGGGTGCCTGGGTGGCTTGGTCGGTTAAGCCTCCAACTTTGGCTCAGGTCATGATCTCCCGGTCCGTGAGTTCGAGCCCCGCGTCGGGCTCTGTGCTGACAGCTCAGAGCCTGGAGCCTGTTTCAGATTCTGTGTCTCCCTCTCTCTCTCTGACCCTCCCCCCATTCATGCTCTGTCTCTGTCTCAAAAGTAAATAAAACATTAAAAAAAAAAAAAAGAAACTACCAAACTGGGCCACCTGGGTGGTTCAGTTGGTTAAGCGACTGACTTCAGATCATGATCTTATGGTTCATGAGTTTGAGCCGCACATCGGGCTCTGTGTTGACAGCTTGGAGCCTGGAGCCAGCTTTAGATTTTGTCTCCCTCTCTCTCTGCCCCTCCCCCTCTTGTGTGCATGCGCACGCACTCTCCAAAATAAATAAATATTAAAAAAAAAAAGAAACTGCCAAACTTTACCAAAGGAACTGTACCATTTTGTATTTCCGCTAGCAATAATAAGAGTTGATTTGCTCTTCTACTTTGTCACCTCTTGGTATCGTCAGTTCTTTTGATCTTTACCATTCTAATAGGTGTATTATGGTTATTATTGTGTAGTTTTAATTTGCATTTCCCTAATGACTAAAGATATTGAACATCTGTTCTTGTATTTATTTGCTATCTACATATATTCTTTTGATGAAGTGTGTGTTCAAATCCTTTGCCCATTTTTTCTTACTGAGTTGATTTCTTATGGTTGATTTTTTTTTTTTTTATGGTTCATTTATTTTGAGAGAGAGAGAGAGAGAGAGAGAGAGAGAGAGAGAGAGAGACAGCATGAGTGGGGGAGAGGGAGAGAGAATCCCAAACAGGCTCCTCACTGTCTGGGTGGAGCCCAACATGGGGCTCGAACCCATGAACTGTGAGATCATGACCTGAGCTGAAACCAAGAGTCAGACGCTTAACTGAGCCACCCAAGAGCCCCTCTAATGGTTGAGTTTTTAGAGTTCTTTGTGTATTCAAGATCTAAGCTTTTTACCACATAAGTAATTTGGAAATATTTTCTTTATGGTATGTTCTATCATTCGCCAGTGTTTCTCACAGAGCAAACATTTAATTTTGCTGAAGTTCAGTTCATTACATTTTTCCTTGTAAATTATATTTTTCATGTTTTACCTAAGAAGTATTTGTGTAATCCTAGTTTACGGAGATTATCTTCTATGCTTTGTTCTAGAAGTATTATAATTTTAGGTTTGTTCTTATATTGATATTCTAAAATTCCTGCCTATTTCCTGTATAAAAATTAGTGTGTGGATATTTTATTTTCTTCTTCCTCAACTTTCTTCCATTTTTAGTTGCATTATTTCTTTGTCATAATTTAAAATAATTTCTGCAGTAGTTTTTCTTCCTTGTCTCCATCTGCATTTTAGTTGTAGGTCTACTTTTATATTAAAATGATCATTGTCAGCCCTTTCTCTGACGTTTTCTTAGTTATCTCTTCGTTGGAATGAACCAATTCTACTTGAGTTCCTCTACTCAAGAAAGGCTGATTAGTGTAGAATTCCCTAAGTTCTTGTGTGTTAAAAAAAAACAAAAAACTGCTGCAGTGTCCTTGATACATGAAGGACATCTGGCTGGATATGAAATTAACATTTTTGTAACATTTTTGTATTGCGTTTTAAAAAATGCTTCTCCACTGTTGCTTGATATTTATGTTGTTTTTATGTATTTGATATTCTCATCTGAAGGCCTTGAATTTTATTCTTCATCTTTGAAATGTAATATTTTTGTATCAGGATATGCTGTGAAACATTGCCCATTCTGACCTTAACTTTCTTAGGTTCCCAATTGGCATGTTTAATATGCAGATTCTGCTCTCTTGAGATGCCTATAAAGTTTTCTTGGATTATAATTTGAAATATTAGTTCTAGTCCATTGTTTTATGTTTCACTCTTCAGGGGATGCAGTAGTATGGATTTTATTCTGTTTACCTCCCTTAATTTCCACTATTTTGTCTCTGATCTTTTATTTATCTCCTTTTCATTCCTTTGTTTTTTATGTCTCTCTTCAATGCTTGTTTTTTTATTTTTTAATTAAATTTTTTTTTTATTTTTTATTTTTTGGAGAGTATGAGTCAGGGAGAGGGCCGAGGGGCAGAGGGAAAGACAGAGAATCTTAAGCAGACTCCATGCTTACTTAAGATTCTCTTAAGCAGATTCCATGCTCAGCATGGAGCCTGATGTGGGGCTCTGTCCCAGGACCCTAGGATCATAACCTGAGCTGAAATCAAGAGTCATATGCTCAACCAACTGAGTCACCCAGGCACCCCTGAACATCTTTAAAACAGCTGTTTAAAAGTCTCAGTCTAGTACATCTGTCCCTGGGTCTTTTTCAGGGATAGTTTTCTGTGGATTTTATTTTTCTTTTAATTGGTCATACTTTCATGTTTCTTTGTATGTGTCATGATTTTTTTGTTGAAAACTGGACGTTTAAATCTAATAATGCGGCATCTCTGGAAATTAGGTTCTTCGCATTCCCCAGGGCTTGCTGTTTTTTTGTTTTGTGTGTGTTTTGTTGTTGAAGGATCAACCTGAGGTATACACTTTAGATCTTAGATCATCTTTAGCCTTTGCTTTTCCCTAGGCATGTTTGATGACATTCTAATTGCCCCCATACATTCTGTTGCCTTTGAATGTCCTAGTCTTTCATGTTGGGCTTCCAAAAGAGGAAAATGAGGGCATGAGGAAAAATGGAGACTGGCCCTTTAAATGCCTTGGCTGTCCCTATGGCTAGAGGGTGAGGACCTTGCAACAGAGGGAGGAGTTGCAGCAACAATGGGCCACTCACTTCATTGTCTACATCTCTATGATCAGAAGCAACAATCAGTAATCCTAGCATATACTCCTGATATTTGGAGGACGGTTTTTTTCCTCATCCTAGTTGCAACGAACTTTGTGCAGACTGCTCCAATACATATGCATAGTTGTCTGCTCCAGGGCTGCAGCCTGGGGGATGGGGAGCTTCTGCCAAACTAACAGCTGAAATTGACCCAAATAACCACAGTTTACCTTACCATCCCCTTGGAAGTTGGAAGCCTTCAAAAGATTCAGAAGATCCAAAATAGTTACATTAGACAGATTCCTGATGCTCTTTTGCCATCTCCCAGAATCCTTCTCAGAGTGCTTTTCATAAAGCTTTTCGCCTGGCTTCTTTGACTTTTATTTTGCAGTTTTTTTTTTTTTTAAGTGAATTACATTTTTAAAAAAATGTTTATTTATATTTGAGAGGGAGAGAGAGACAGAATGTGAACGGCAAGAGGGTCAGCGAGAGACAGGCAGAATCCAAAGCAGGCTCCAGGCTCTGAACTGTTAGCACAGAGTCCAATGCAGAGCTCAGCTCACGAGCCTTGAGATCATGATCTCAACTGAAGTTGGATGCTTGACCAACTGAGCCGCCCGGGTGCCCCCTTTTGCAGAGTTTTAGTGCTCCATTCCTTAAGTGAAAAATCATCACACAATGTCAGGTCTGTTTCTTTGTGCCCCAATTCTTTTATAGGATCATGGCCTACACTCTGAGTCTTGGCAGCCTTGGCAGCCTTGAACTTTTTCCTGTCTCTCTATCCTCATGAGTTTGCCTAATGCTCTTTTGGCTTTTCTACTTAGTAGCTGCCCTCTCCATGGCTCCTTAGTGTCTTATTCCTTATCAAGAATTTGCACATGCCCAAAGGAAAAAACAGCATGGAGAGAATTGTGTTTCCTATCACAAGGAACCTCCTATCATGAGGTTCTCTTCTCTTGGAACTCTGGTTCCTCAAGACCTGGTTTTCCGAGCATTTATCTGCCTTCAAAGAAACTTTAAAAAAAAATGGGCTTTGTTAGTTTTGTTTAATCAGAACAATTTGTCTGTTGTAAGTGATAGTCTACAGCAGAAGCAAAAGTCCTAGTGTAATTCTTTACACTTTTGTGTATTGCAAATATCTATTGGAGTTAGTGTTTTCAGTACACTTTATGGTGTATTTTAAAGTAGTTGAATTTAGCAATTTCTTATATGTGAATTACTTATTGATGTCTTACCCTCCTTGGTATCATAAAGATACCTTTATGATATTCTAAA